AATTTATAAAAAAATTCCGTTTCAGAATTTTCCAACGGCTGAAAAAAATGTTTAGCAACACAAAATTAGAAATATAAGTTAACTGCAGGCTAAAACTGTAAACGATGAATTTGGAAGCTACACACTATGAAACTACAAAATGCATGAATTAAATAGTAATGCGAAAATAATTTGTAGAAAGAAAATACAAACTGCAACAGATTTCAAACCGAGACCTGTGCGTGCACAGCTTCCTTAATATAGTTTCGCCCCCTCACCGTAGGTGTTGGAGGTTCAATTCGAGCGGCTATCTTTCAAGATACAACGGTAATAAGCAGAATCCGAGCATCGCGGTCCTACTCCGGCTAACTGATCTAGTATCCAAACACTATCACTACAAGAACAAGGAATGCAGAAAAGAAGAAACTATGTATGCAAGAATGTAGGTGAGATTTTCGAGTGTGTTAGATTATTGGAGAATGAGCCTTTTTATAGGGCATATTTCCCATTAATATTGTGACAAGTTTAAGGTTCGAAGATCATTTCGGTTCATGATCTGCACCCCCCCTGCGCGCGCACGTGGAGAGAGCCTCTATACTATACATGATTACACATCTCCAAAGCATAACCATATATAAAGTGGTTTAAGTTTCCTTGGTTTTCCTATATGGAATAAATGTATTTTTTCCCACAAAACCAACTTCCAATGACCAACTTTGAGCTCCAATTTATCATTCACTCAAGCTTCATTTTTGACAAATAAATACATGAAATCGATGTTCTCGCGGAGGGGAACACATATCAACTTTGATATTCCACATTGGACCAACGGATCCCATTGAAAATTGTGTCAAAAGTGAGCCGCTCACTCAATTTTTTCCAACAAAACATAGATATAGCGAATGTTTGCATGGACTTATTGCTCAAGAAGAAAGCCCCATTTTGTGGCCAAAATTGGATCCTCAAATTAAGAAAAAATAAGCTACGTAGGTAGTCAGGTTCAGAATTACTTGTTCCGTCTTGGCATTTGGATTTTGATCAATATACAGTGAAATGGATATAATGAATACACTTTTGTAACTCCTTTTTTTTTCCTTTTTTTTTTTAACTATCCCACATTCCCTACCAAATATTTGATTGATTATGTTTATTATATTCGATATTGGATAAATCGATGAAGAAAGACTTGTATAAAAATTATCAATTGCTATGTTGATTCAACATATTAAACATGGTATTTACATTTGCTATCCTCATATATCCCATATGTCAAAGCTTCAACTTTGTGATATTACATACAGTATGATCTCAATCGAGTAACACTAATTTAAGTTGTATTATGTGATAGTCTCAATAGAATGTGAAATTTAAGTGACTAATTTAATTGTACTTTTTATTTCACGTCGTCATATTAGTGTCACCTAAATTGATGATAATACTAGTGGTGCTAACTATCATTATTCCTTTAGTAAAAATCGAATCACTTTTTGAAGTGTAGGTAACATCACGTCGCCTTCGGCTTTTGAATTCCGTGTGCCACAAGAAAATGATTTAGATGTGTGTCCATATACCCTTTCTTTACATTTCTAACGATGCAAGGACCTTTTATTTCCTAGTGTAACCGATAAAATATTCGAATCAATATTTGGTGACAATATAAAAGAATAATGTGATTTTCTTTTCCTTATCTGGTGAAAGCCTTTTTGATATGAAATATATGCGCATGTGAGGCTAAATATAAAGACACAAGTCGGCGACTACTTTTATGTTGATATATATCAAAATCTAGAGGATATGCAATATATGGTCAACGATGCGAACTTAAACCTTTCATAATTTTGAAAAGTAAATGGTTCTTAGTGTGTTGGGCCACTGAAAAACTAGTTGTTCGTTGATCGAGCTCTAATAATCAAGTTAGGGTAGACGAATGGAGAATGTATTTTAAAAAGAATATGTTAACGTGGGTTGGAGCCCTTTGCTAGGTAAAATGATGCCACGTCTACTGAACTTATTGTTAAATATTTATATAATAAATATAACATGTGAAAGAAATAACTAATTTAGATGGAGTGTCCAAGTGGTGGAAAGTGTGGCGAATGTTGGGGGTTCGAGTCATATTCCACGCAACATATAAAAGTTTTTGATCGGGGCCTTAACCTTGGGCTTCCTTGATTAAAATGTTTATTTTTTTATTTTATTTTATTTTAATTATTTCGGAATTATTTAATGGGTCTAATTAACCTTTTGAGTTTGAATTCCATTCCAATAGTCTTTTGAGTTCTTATCTTACTTTTGGAAACAATGTTTGGTCAAAAAGAATGAAGAATAAAGGCATTTGTCCATTTACATGTACTTGAGAGATTTTATTCTTTAATCAAATCTCTCTATTCTTTATTCCTTTCGATTCTGGTCGTCATCTTATACCTTTAAAATCTATTTTGTATGCATTCGATGATATGAGAATTGAGAGCCAAATTTTTCTTCTTATAATTAAATCCATCTAACCTTTTCTTAAGGTTGGCAAGATTGAACCATATTAGATCAGAACCAATCAGTTTTATGATTGACTGCCGTCCCATTTAAATTAGGAAAATAATTGTTGTACTGATTGGTGAGGTGCCCAAAAATAAAAAAAAATAGTGGGGGAATTTTATCATCCTAGTTGGTTGGTGAAATTCGCACCATCATCTCTAGGCAAAGAAATCTATAAGTCATGATGTTCATGTAGCACAATTATTTTAATTGTACTTCAAAAAACAGTGTATAGTACAAATGTAGTGTGTTGTTATTCAACCCTGCTCCCTGTCCCGGGTTGGGGACAGGGTCAGAGACAGGGGCACCACATGGCACCCCCTATTGGAGGGGCGCCTACCAGGTCCTCCCTGTGCCCAACCCAGGACAGGGAGAATTATTCTTTGTTATTTCACTTTCGTAGTTTCTGTTCCCAACAACAAAAGTGATGATTTATTTTGAAACCTATTAATTCTTGTCTATTATATAGTTGATTTTACTAGATTATAAAAATAATTTTAAAACTGAATTAAAATTCAATTCAATAGCTAGGATCAAGAACCGTATCAGAACCATTTAGTTCTTGATTTTAGACTCAAAACCAACTAATTTTAACTAGAACTGAATCGAACTAAAACCAACTAGTTCAGTCGAGTTCCAGTCTAGTTGATGAGGAAAAGTCACTCCACAATAATTTTTGGACTCAATTTTTCAAAAGCTAAATAGATAACTTGCCCTTTTTAAGTCCAAATAAACTCTTATAGCGGATGAAAAATCTAGAGAACCATTTTCATTAGAGGGGAACATTGACATAAAAATGTTACACCAAAAAGAATTTTACTGTCGAGCAGCCTGAAGTTAGGTTTAGTTGGCTATGTTCTTTTGGCTCCAATTACATGCACTTGTTCTAGTCATAATATGTCTACTTCAGTACATTTTATTTTTATTTTTTTTTTCTTTTTGAAACACAAATACTTTTTCTTTGCCACCTATATTTAATTTTTTGATGAACGTGCATGCATTCAAGCTTTTAAAATGGAAATAATATTAATCATTGCACATTCCACCTTTGATCTTTAATCCCTGAGATCACCATCCACTTCCCGATTTGTGCCCACCCCATGATAATATATCTTTTTTCAATTTCTCTTCCTTTTTTTAGTTTTTCTTTCTTTCTTTTCCTGTTGTTGTGTTCGTATATTTGAAAGTCAGACTGTATTGTCTTCCTCCATAATTCCGCTAAACCACCGCTAGCTAGTTTTCAACTCTGCGTCCTTCATTTTTGTCTTTTGACCACTGCTAGGTTATTAAAATTTATTACAGCCTAGTATTAATTTACCAGTCCAACTTAGAGACGTGATTTAAGAGTGCATATATATATAAAGGGAATTTAATTGCTTCAATAGAATTTAAAACATAATTGATTAAGAGCCTGTTTGAGAATGATTTTTTCTCCTAAAAAATTGATTTTTTGACCGTTATTTCACTATTTTAGTCGTCATATTTGACTTCTTCTCTCACAAGTGAACTCTACTTTTTTCCTAACGATCAAAAAATCAATTCTCAAAATCACTCCCAAACAGGCTCTAAGACTAATTAATTTTAAGTCCCTCAGGAAAAAGGCCAAGGGGTGTGTATATTGAAAGTTTATTTCGGTCCCAAGTTATTATTATTGTTTGTTTTATGGTTGATATGTTGGGTTAGATATGATCAACCAGGCCATAATCTTTTCAAAGACAAACTGATTAGAGAAAGTTGCGTTGTCAAATAAAGCAGCTCAGTGGTGCTTAAGAACTGGATTTTTATTGGTCAAATAATGTGGAAAAGATCCTAATAAAAAACAATTACAAGAGTGCAACCCAGTTAATATTCAGCTAACTTTAATATTCTTATGGTTAAAAGTAGTAGTAATATACATTTAACGAAAATTTATGCTGATAGTTAAATTTTGTCTTGTTTCAATTGAATCAATTGATTTCAAATTGGTCGTCGAATTTAAACATTTGTTACAATTTGATCATTTCATTAATATCTTATACAAACGAAGAGTTAATATGAGAACGTCATTGACAAATAGCTAGACTTTCATGTCACCTTTACATTATTAAAAACTTCATAATCTTCTATCATTGGATTAGGAGTACAAGGGAATAACTGTCTGGACAATTATAGGTGCTATGGTTACCCTTTTTTTTTTTTTTTTTTTTTTTTTTTTTTAACCATCTCCCAATGAAAAAAATGTCAAATGCCTCTTGTGAATTCAATTTTTTTAACCATCTCCCAAAGGAAAATGTCAAATGTCCCTTGTAAATTCAGTTTTCCTTTATACGCCGAGCACTCCTCTTGGGTTAGTCTTTAGACTCATGGTAGACTCCATGTGAAGACGTGTAAATCTTCCCATTTGTCCACTTGGAAATGAAAAGAGATGGGAAATTTAATTCTTCTCGTTGATGCCCCACGTCCAATCTTATCTTTTCACTTCCTATATAAGTCAATTCAATACAGCCATCATTTTGTAAGAGAAATAGAAAGTCTCAAGCTATTTCATTTCCATTTTCATTCTCCTATCTAGAGAAAAAAGGAGGAATGGCCGCCATGACACTTGATCCAAGTTTGAGCCTTCAGATGGCTGCCAAAGAATCCCAACAAAGAGTTGTGAGTGAAGAAATTGATGGGCTAATTAAGGTTTACAAAGATGGTCATGTGGAACGACCTGATATCGTGCCACGTGTCACTTGCTCGTTGCCTCCCGAGTTCGGAGTGACATCTAGGGATTTAATCATTGACAAGCACACAAATATCTGGGCACGTCTATATTTTCCAAATTCTCATGAGAAGCTCCCTTTGATGGTATATTTTCATGGTGGTGGATTTTGTGTTGGTTCCGCCTCGTGGAGTTGCTACCACGAGTTTCTAGCAAAATTAAGCGTGAAAGCCAATTGTGCAATCTTGTCAGTTAACTACCGTTTGGCCCCGGAAAATCCTCTTCCGGCTGCATACGAAGATGGAGTCAAGGCGTTTGTTTGGCTAAGGCAACAAGCCTTGAGTCGGGATAACGAATTGTTGACGAGTAAATGCAACTTTTCGAGCATTTTCCTAGCTGGAGACAGTGCTGGTGCCAATATAGCCTATAACGTGACCATAAGGCTATCCGGATTGGCCAATTTGAGGCCATTAGACCTCAAGGGACTAATCCTAATACAACCCTTTTTCGGTGGAGAGTCAAGGACTCAATCAGAGAAGTACATGGTGCAACCACCACGCTCCGCCCTCACACTGGCGGCTTCAGACACTTACTGGCGGTTATCCCTGCCAGCAGGGGCCAATCGCGACCATCCGTGGAGCAATCCGGTGGCGAAAGGAGCTGCAAAAATGGAGGACTTGCCTCATGTGCCTACTATGGTATGTATATCAGAAATGGACATATTGAAAGATAGGAACTTGGAATTTTGTGCAGCCATGGGAAGTGCAGGTAAGAAAGTGGAATATGTGGTGTATAAAGGTGTTGGCCATGCATTTCAGATTCTCAGCAAGTCTTCTATCTCGCAAACTCGTATAAGTGAACTAATTTGTCACATCAAGTCCTTTATCCGTAGATGAACAGTTAAAATTATAGTGTTGTTTGGTAACAAGATATTATGTATGCTAATGTAATTCGATGAAATTAATTAGCAAAAGAAATTATAGAAGGAAATCAAAAAAATAAAGGCGCGAGTTTCCCATAGCTCTTTTGGGTTTTTCTCTCTTATTTCAGCGTCAAATATTTCAGTTGTAAAGTTTTTTATGATGGCTAATTATGTTTGGTAGCTTTTTATTTTTTCAATCTCAAATCTAATTTTCCAACTTTTATCCGTATATTTTATGAGATTCACAACCACTACACACTTATTTAATACCCATTCTCCTATCTATTCATAATTATTTAAATTATTATATTCAACTTCCAAACATAAGTATCATAATTTAAAGAGACATTTTCAAAAGTAGCCAAACATGCGAGTATGGGAACTTTTAAAAATATTTGGGAAAAATGGCCGTTTTTTACATTTAGCCTCTCTTTGAGCCTCCTCATCTAAAATTTATTTACAACCATATATTCTCCTAGTAAAATAAATCTTTTTTTTTCTATTTTCTAACCACAAATTATCCATAAAATCACTTTTTACATAATCAGTTCTCAAAAATTAAGGCTCAAATATATGTTTGTACTCTTTTTCCATACAATCACCATCACCACTAACAAAGCACCGTCACCACCAGCTGACAACAAAACCAGCAAACCACCATCACCAAACACTAAAAAATCAAAACCACCACCCTCGAACACAAAAACCTAGGAAATCACCGCCAATGACGAAGAATATATTTTTGTGTTTGAGGAGCCTATTACGATCGGTTGTCAACGGTATAACAATAGCTCAAACCATGAGAGTGACATTTGAAGGAAATAATTAACCTACATACTTTGTTCAAATACTTTGTTAAGATAGCAAGAAAGTAATCAACTTTGAGTTACCATAAATAAAATAAAAATAGTGAAGAACAAAAATATGATAAAAGAGGCTATTTGGGAGGGAAAAAAAAAAAAAAAAAAAAATCGAATCAACAACATTTTATATAAAGAAAAATAATCAAGCTTTGGTTACCTAGAAATTGAAAAAAAAAAAAATTAAAGTAATAAAAAAAATGAAAACCATAGTTTCTCATGTACAAAAGTATAAAAGAAAAAGAAAACAAAATACCAAAAAAAAACCTTCGTAACACGTACCAAAAGAAAAAAAAAATACAATTATGCTTGAGATAATTAAAAATTCACCACCATTACCACGATCGTCTTCTACGAACATTACAAAACTTAATTCTTACTATATTGTTCATCAAACAATTAACAAAAAGTGTAGTTCAGAAAAGTTTGTGCTGATCTTTTGGTCCAAAATTAACCAAAAAGCCATTTTGTACAAATCTTTGAAAAAAGAAGTCATTTTTAAAATGTCCCATGTGAAATGTGATTTTGGGGTACGTTTTCGTAGTCGAATCCCCTAGATAGTTGCATGTCAGGTCCTTCAACCTTGATTTTGCATAACTTGGGCCTCAAAAATTCAACTTTTATATAAGTTTTTCGCTCCAAAAATTGCAACCCAAGTCCTCCAACTTTCCATCCTTTTGCAATTTGGTCCCCAACTTTCATGTTTTGTACGCTTTTGGTCCATTTTCTTTTCTTTTTGCCTTTTTTTCCATTAGGTTTTTATAACCAACGAAAGCCCAAATTATCCAATTATGAGTTGATATCTGCTTTTTTCATCAATAATAAGCATATTTAGACATTAAATAAGTGTACAAAAATATATATCACATTGCATTAAAGTCAAGGTAGGCTTCGATTCCCAACGAGATAGGGAAAAGGGCCTCCTGTCCATCGTAGAAGATATGTATGAGCATGAGAAGGCATTGGACGAGTTAGAGGTGGCGTATGTTAGCTGCGGAGAAAGTATGGCACGTTGACCAGAACTTAGGTCAAAGTTGTAACCTATTTCCCGAGGTCATTAAATCCCTCCAAATTATTAGAGGTTGAGGTACTACTAATGTAGGAAAATGTTCTTCATCTTGAAGGTCAACTAGGTCTCATTGGTTATCATAGTGGCTCGAAGCGAAAGTGACTTTTCACTAGTGAAGAAATCTAGGGACATGAGCATCGACAAGGTTCTTGGTAGAGAAGACATGTACGTTATGTCCTAGTCATGTATCTACCATGACATCTAATAGCAATTTCTATAGGTGGCATCAATGATGCAACAAAAATGGTGCCTAGAGAGACTCGGTTTTGTGTTGGGAAAACACGAAAGATGAGTAAAATAAGACCATCGAACAATTTTCCGAAAAGGCTAGTGAAGATTTGTTTCTATTGCCCCTTCGATCCTCAAGTCAGAAAGTTGTTGGGGGAGAATATATACTTAGACTATAATCACAAATAAAATTCAGCGTGAAAAAGGCGAACGCTTGAGCACCTCCCTTACAACCAGTGAGCAGTTTTTGAGTAGTCTTTTGTATTATCATCGAACCTTTCCCTCCCAATATCGAATTTAGTCAATTTAAAATGCGTTATAAAACTAACTCAAATTCCACTATTCATTTAGAATAGCATTTCAAATTTGTGTAAAATATGTTGCAACTTGTGGCTGAGAATTTGGAGTATGAGTTGTGCTGCAATTTGACACTCATTTGAATTCTAATTGCATCCCATTAGTCATTTATGATCTTGTAGACATAGCTCATTGATGCCTTTAAGACTTATACTATCCATCCATTGAATTTTAACTTTAATTACAACTCTGTTACTTTAATTTTGTCTAAGAAATAATCAATTACAACTAAACACATAACAAATTCCCCCCTCGACATTCCATGATAAAATCGCTTATTTCAAAAATAATAATAATAATAATAATAATAAAATTTAAAAAAAATGCATATTTCATTGCCTTTAAGATATAGATCATGTTCAATTAGACAAAAAAATTATATTTGCCAAGTCACATTCAAAGTATATAAAAACTAGTGGAATTAAATTTTTTGTGAAATTTTGTAGGAAGGAGAGAGAGAGATTGCATGCGTTTGAAATTTTTTAAACAACATTTCAATCCAGAATTTGGACTCGTCTAAAATCTCATATACATTTAACCTATGTTTGGTTTAACTAAAAAATTGATAAAATTAAATTTAAAATCAACAATTAATTTTAATTATACATTTCATGAAATATCGCAGCTTACACCATATTTTCAACCATAGAAATTATTAACTTATATCTACTAAAAATTTGATGTTAGCAAAATCAAATAGGGTTTCTTCACATTTTACTAAAGTCGTGCTAAATTATGCCACTGTATGGGTTGACTAAAATATTTAAGATTGATTTTGATAAAACTTTATTAAATGTGAGTTTGAAAATTTGATAAAAGTTATATATTCCATAAAATGTATGATTAAAAATGAGTTCGAAAAAATGAATTTCGAAAATTGAGGTCAGACGGGAGTTATAACTTATACATATACTTCGATCTTTATTCGATGTGAGATCGAATTATTCGTTTGAACTTTATGGGATCTAATAACATTTTAGCTTCATTTCAAAAAATTAACCTCATTAAGAGGAATAGTTCAAATTCTTATATACTGGCAGTGTCGGCCCTGAATATAGACAGGATAGGCGATCACTTAAAGCCCCACTTCAGTGAGTGAGGGCCCCAAATTTTATTTATTTTCTTTTTTTTTTTACATGTATTTTTACAAATATAGAGGGTCTCATATTTGAAATTAATCTAAGGCTCCCAAAATCTCAAGACTGACCTTGTATGTTGGTCCACATTTTCATTTTTATTCGATGTGAGATTTATTTATTGACACTCGTCGGCCATAAAGAGACCGCAAGGTCCACAATAGACACAAGTCAGCCAATTAATTGAACAACAGGTGCACCGTTTGTCACGATGATTTCTAATTGAAAGGTCTTTCTTGGAGTGGAATCAATTTCAGCCTCATCCGAAAGGATAGCCAGAGCCGGTCCTGAGGCAAGGCAGATGAGGCCTACGCCTCAGGCCAAAAACCATAGGGGACCTCATTTCGTTGGCCCTTTAATTGCAGACTTGCAGTCGCCATTGTTGCAGCGAGAAGCTTGGAGCTGGAGAGAGAAAGATGATGTGTTACCTGGGCCTTTTTTTTTAAAAGATTGTGGGCCTTTTATTTTTGGATTTTTTTTTTAATTAGGCCCATTATATTATGAATTGATAATAAGTTAACATGTTGACAACCTTCTCTTCCATTCTCACTTCTCCCAAATCGGCAATTGCAAACCCTATTGGCTATTCGGCTTCCAAATCTGAAATTGTGGATCAGTTGCGCGAGCAGCTCTCCAGTCAAGTATCTGAGCCGCTAGTGCATCGTCGTCCTCCACCAGAATGCCAGTGTCTGTCTCCGCCCTATCCCATTTTTTCGGCAAATGAATTTGTGGATTATGAGTATGTTATGTCTAAATGTCTAAGTTCTTATATGCTCTAGTGATGTAAATTTTGTTGGTGAATTACTGAATTAGCTTCATTGCATCCAAATGGCAGATGAATGAAATAAGAAAATTCCTCATTTTATTTCTGCTAATTAATTTTTTCTGAAGATGTTTTTGGTCATGTTTTATATTGGCTTTTTTGAAGAATGACTTCCTTTTTTTTTCTTTTTGCAAATTATTGTTTTAATTGTCATTTTCTTGCTGTTTGCTGGTCAATAAAATGAAATCCTTATATTGCTCTTATAGAGCATGTTTATTTATTTTCTAATTAAAATTAAACTATTAACATTCAAAAAGTAAAAAATGTGAAAGTTATGTGTGTTTTTAACAATCAAGTAAAAAAGTTGTTTTATTGTTCAGTTTTAAATTAACAATAGGTTGTATAATATCTATTGAATTTGAATCTACGATGGTTTTGGGGGGCTTTCTTTACGAAACTTGCCTCGGGTCCTGAAGATCACAGGACCGGCTCTGAGGATAGCCATGCAAGGAATTAAGAGTGCGGGATAACAGATTAAGGTAACTTAGTAATGCAACCAGTGCGAGCACAAAGAATAAGAAGAAAAAGTAATATAAGCAACAAATATGGCAAATATGTAAAGCATATTATATATGGGAAAGCATACTTTTTAAGGAACATTTGAACGCCCCATAGAATATCAAGTGATCACATGTGTCTGTCTCTCATATGATCAGTAAAATAGCAAAGGAGCAAACACGAATGTCCATCCAATTACAAAGTTGAAT